GGGTCCCCCGCGTCCCACCAGTCCTTGGGGGGGCTGATGTACATGCACCACAGCTCCCAGCTGTAGCCGTGTGCCGAGTTCTCGTAGCGCTGCACCTCGAAGTTGTCCTGCTTGATGTTGTCAATGGAGGGCAGGATCACCCTCTTCCTGTTCTCCTGGATCCGGGACAGCACCGGCTCCGCCCTGGGGGAAGGGGCAAGCACAGAGAGAGCCTCAGTTCACTGCAGCTCCATTCCATTCCATCCCCTATCCCATCTCTCCCTGCCCTCTGGCAGTGGGAGCCATTCCCTGTGTCCTGTCCCTCCATGCCTTGTCTCCAGCTCTCCTGGGGGCTCCCTTTGGTACTGGAATCCACTCAGAGCCTTCTCCTCTCCAGCTGAACAACTCCAGCTCTCAGCCTGTCCTCACAGCACTGAAGTGCTCCAGCCCTTCGTGTCCTCCTTGTGATGGATACAAGCCTGGTCCACAGGCTGGGAAGCCTGGCTGGAAACCTTCTCTTCTGCAAAGCAAGGCCAGGAAGGCTGTGCTTGGTTCAACCACACCTGAACTACTCCAGGCTTCCCCCAGATCCCAAAACCCTGGGCAGAACAGGGTACATTCTTGAAAGCAGGACTGTTTGAAGGGTCTTTTTTCCCTTGGGATGCAGTTTGATGACTCTATGGCTAAAAAATTAATCTCTGGGACACACTCAGAGCAGGGGGTGTGCTCAGCCTCATCTCTGCAGATCCAGAGACACCGAGTGCCCTGGGGTCAGTGCCCACACCAGGGGGAGTTTGGGGGAACTGGCATTTCCAGTGGCCCCAGTAACAGCAGCAGGTGGGAAACACAGGGAGAATCAAGCCCACACTACAGAAATGTCTCCTCTCTACCACTATAAAAAAGCTTCAAGAGTTCAGTCGATGGGAGCTCCTCAGAGAATCAGGTGTGAGGCCTTAGTGACCAGAGAGAGGAATGTTCAACTGGGAATACAGATCCCAACATCACAAACAGCTCCTAAAGTAACCCCTTCAGCTGCACTGTCATTGAAAAGGATTCAATAGCTGTGCACAACTCTGCCTTTAACAGCTGCAAATAGGGCTTTTTGTGGCTGTTACTGTGTTCAAATTCAACACAAGTTTAGCTTCTTCCACCTCCACTTTTCTAAACATGGACCATTTACTTTTTACACTTGGTTAAAGGAAAAAAATTCCATTTCAGGCTCCTGTCATGACACGGATTCAAACTTAAGCCATTTGAGCTCAAATGTTCTAAACCTCTCTGAAAAAAATCCTTGTGAAACACCTTTTGCTGCTTCTGCACCTCTGCTCTTATTCCCAGCAGCAAAGGAAAGAAATCAATCCAGAGCATTTGAGCCTTCCCCTCTGGGATCCAGCGAGGGGCACAGAAGTGGGAAACACTTTCTCCTTCATTCCCTTGCTGCCTGGGTTTTTTTAAACTTGCAGGAATTACTTAAGGCTAAGGCAATGGGAAATCATCCTGGAAAGCTAAGCAGGGAGCAGGGAAAATGCACGCACAAAGGGAAGGAATGGAGGATTACAAGGAACAAGGGCAATGAAAAGTTTTCCTTGTATGCTCCCACCGCGCCATCCAATCCAGAAGGAATCCAGAAGGACTCCTGGAGAAGGACTGACAAGCCAGAGGACTTGCGTGTCGTTCTGTAGGGACACAAAAGGAGGGATGTTCCCCTGGTTAATGCCCCTGAGCACCTACCAGCCAGCAGTGAACTCCACGTGGGCATCAAAGAAGCCGGTGACCTGGCCTGTGGCAGCTTTCCAGCCCTCGATGCGGGCCCGGATCAGCCCTTCCCTCTTCTGGTTCCTCACCACCTTGACCAGCCCCGGGTAGCGTTTGTTGACGTACTCCTCCAGCGGCGCCTTCAGCTCCTCTGGGGACAAGGACACACAGCCCGTGGGACAGGGACACAGCTCCGAGGGACAGGGACACAGTTCCCACCTGGGACAAACCCCCCCTGCAGCAGGATCACTGGGGTGACACCCCTGCACCCACCGAGGGACGCGATCGCCTGGGCTTGAGCAGTGCTGCTCTGCACAAGATGGACCGAGCACAACCCACACACAGGAGGTTCAAGGTGGCCCAGAACTGCTGTTGGGCCACTGAGGAGCCCATGGGCCACCTCAGAGGTCAAGGGCAGGGAGGGGACACTTACAGTCTGCACTAGAAGAAATGGAAGTGAAACACAAAGATAGAATGATATCACCCATGGACAGCAAACAGCAGCGCTCTGAACTCCTGATGGAGGTTGGAGCTGAAAGCACTGCTAGAAATGCTGCAAAACCCACCCAAAGTGACTCAAACTACACCAAAACCACGTCTGAGCTTCACTGCCCTCTTCACTCAGCCTAACCACTACAGCCTCGGCACCTGCTGTTTGTTTTGCCAGCAGAAAAGTTGACATTCCCCTTGCTTTTGTGAGGGGATGAAAGGAGATTCTGGCTTTGTTCAGGAGACCCTCCCACCACATATCTCGTGTTCACTGCAGCTCATTTCCTGTGTGTGCAGTGCCTGAGACCCTCAGGGACCTGCAGCCCTCAGCCACCACCAGCACACAAATCCTCCACAGTAGAAGACCTGAGCATAAAAGAGCCAGAGGGCTTTGAAGGTGGAAGCAGATGGAAGGTTACAATAAAGGATAAACACCAGTGTGTTCTTCCAACCCTTTGGAAAAGTTCTCTGCCAGTTCTCAGTCCTTTCAGTGCCTGTTGCACCAGCTCAATGCACAAAGGTCTGCTGGAGAGGAGCTCTGAAAGCTCAGCAAAGCCACTGGGCACCAACACAAATTCTCGACACCATGAAAGCAGCTCCTGAGAGTATCTTTCATCCCTACAAGGCTTCAGGAGAGCAGAAAATGAAGATATGATCCATGACTTCAAATTACAGTCTACTACCCTTCACTGCACACTCTCTCTCTCCTGGAATAAAGATGGAAAAAACATCACCATTAATCACCCACATGGTAAAATCCTTGAGACACACGAGCACACGTGGGGTCCCACATGAAGGAAGCACACAATGGAGAGCAAAGGAGTAAACAGCAAATCTCATCTGCTTTGAAATCTTCAAAGGAAAAGGATTATCTGTTCCTTTCCCTGCCACGCCTCCTTCCAGGCACAGCAAATGTGCTTTCTCCAGACTGCCTTTCTGGGATGCTTCCCCTCACATCTCCATTTCCCCAGAGTCTCCTTTCTCTTTTATGCTGAAGTGGGAATAAAAAGAATAAAGCAAATGAGCCCCTTCCTCAATTCAAAGCATCTGCATCACACACATCCATAACTCAGCAACTTCCATTTCATGCTGAGCCACTCAGAGCAAAACCAGGATTTTATGGAAACAACTCTCCCGAATGGTTTGAAGGAGACAAAGACACATTTTTTTTGACAGATGAAACCCCCACAAGCACAGCACTTGGCATCTCATGTGGCTTTGGCAGCAGGTAAGTCATTAATGCAGCAAGGGGCTGCTGCCCACAGTGTGGGACACAGCTGTCCCCAAGATCCCTGTCCTGCCCACAGTGTGGGACACAGCTGTCCCCTCATCCTCCCTGACTAGAGGAGCATCCCTTCAGGCCTGCATTCCTGAGGATTCCAGTGGAGGATCCACAGAGGCTGTACAACCAGGAGTTCACTGCAGTCCAACACTGCCCTGGAGCCTGGAGACCCTTCTCTCCTGCACCCCATGGCTCTCCTCCCTCACACACTCAGCATCCTCTGGGGAACTGGAGCCTCCCTCAGAGCACAGCATCCCTGTTTATTCAGGATGCAGCCTGGAAGGTTTGATCTCTGCCCAAGCTGCTCCCCAGCAAGATTTGCAGAGAGAAACGCTCCTGAAAATGCCAAAAGGTTCTATTTCAATCCCGCCTTTTGTTCTCCATCTGTCTCTATTGATCTTCACTGAAGGGCAAGTCCAAGGAACTCAAATCCAATGGACCTGTTGCTCCATTAAAAAGCTCAGCTGCCAGCTGCAATGACTTATGTTATCTGTTACAAACTGTTTTGTCACCTACACAAGCTGGGAAATGTGGCTGCAGAGAAACAGAACCACCTGATGCCAAGGAAAGTAATCCCACCATGGACATCAGCCCACCTGCAAGCACAGAAACACCCACTGCCCTGTCCTGTCTTAGGTTGGAAGATATAGCTGGGGGTGTGTGTTCCATTGCCATCTGTCAGAGCTGGGGCAGTTTTCTTTATCTCTCCCACAGCCAATCCTCCCTCCAGGAGATCTCTGCTGTTCATGGGCTATTAATTATTAATTATCTTCTGTTCATGGCCACTGAGTGTCCCTGCATGGCTGAGAAAATTCCATCATCCATGGGGAGATGCTCT